ACTTAGCTCACCTTTGACATTTCACAGCTCAGTGAGAAAACAAGAACTTAAACTTATCTTTATTTGTCATTGTGACACAGCACAGCGAAATTTATCCTCTGCATTTAACCCATCACCAAGAGAACAGTGGGCAGCCGTGGTCAGCGCCCAGGGAGCAGTGCTTGAGGACGATGCCATGCTCAATGCATCTCAGTGGCAACCTGACAGTTGGTGGATTTGAACCTGGGGCCTTCCGGACCGAAGTCCGCTTCCTTTACCACTAGGCCACCAGTGCCTCTAAATGTAGTCATTACAAAAACACTGGTCCTGACAGGAGAGTGGGATCACAGTGAAAACAAAGTTTAGCTAGGTAGGTACAAATACACACCCACATGGCAGAGACGCACCACGGAGCCAGTGATCTTCATCACACCTGCATGGTGATTCCAGAGGGTGGGCTTCATTTGCGACACAACTCCGTGTATTACTGCTGAAGTGGTTTGTTATTTCTTCTGTTTTCAAAGTTATATAAAAACTTAAGTCACAGACTGGGTTGATTTAAGGAGTTAATCTGAGTTAGTGTGTCTTTACTCACCAACTCATCCAAATTCCGCATTTTACATAAAACTCTCTCCTGCTGCCAGACAAAAGGTCCTGGCTCTGGTTCCTCCTCGTCCTCCACGCTCTGACTGCTCTCCTTTCTACCACAACACCTGATGTTGGAACTCTTCTCACTTGGCTCTCCGGCCTGGCTGTGCAGGCTCTCCTGGTCACGGATCTCCTCTTCTATCTCTTCCTCCAGTTGGATCAACATGGGGGCCAACATGCCAAATTTGGACCCACGTCGTGCCACCTCAAGGAGACACAGAACAAAATTCTTCTCGTTGCACTTCTCCACCAGGTCGTTGGTTTCAAACATGAGCACGTCCTTGATCCACAGCTCTTGTCTGCACCAGCTGATGAAATTGGACACATTATCCCGGGCCAGGAAAGATCCCTGTATGACATTGCGCGACTGAAAGACAACATCTTTGGACGGAACCTTCATGGAGAGCGCAGCCCCCGGGTGTTCCAACTGGAAGTCGTAAGCGGCGCGGTTGACGTTGTTGGCGTGCCGACAGAGGGCACAGCCCGTCTCCAGCGCGTCCATGAATGTGTCCGCAGTGATATCTAGGTCGTAAAGGGTTTTGAGCCATTCGGCCAGGTCCTCCTTCATGGCATACAGGTATTCCTCGCTGGATTTGAAGGGCCGAATACTCTTGGAGGCGGCGGATTGGATATTGCTCTGATCAGCCATGTTGTCGGGTTTATGTATCAATAACGTCTACTTGCCAAAATCCCGGAGGTCTGATTCATTGCGCAGCGTCGCTCCACAGCCTCGCCTGCAAAATACAATGAAGTAACCGTAATGACGCACCCATGCCGCCCTGTGTGCGTGGTTTCTTATCACAGATCCTGGAAGTCAGGCTTGATGTTATCACAGACATGTCAGGAGACCGGCCCTGGAGCATGGATGCGTGTTCCGGATGTCTTTGCAGAAAAAGCCAGTTCTTTCACAGTGACCATTACCCGATCCAGCAGAGAGAACGAGGTCTGGCCGACAGAGCCCGACTGCGGCACACACACTCACACACAGGCGTCGAAGAGTCTGTTCAGCCGGACACCGGTGGGTCCTCTCACCCACGAAAATCCACGTGTCAGAGGAGGCCGGTCAGAGCTGCTGCTTAGGGATGAATTCAGCAGCGGCGGCAGCAGCTCTGAAGCCGCAGTTCATCTTCCCTGCAAATAGGCTCAGCCCTTGTTGCACCGCCTCTTCCATTGAATCTGATGACCTGCTGCAGCTTAACAGCAGAAGACTCGGTGGCACATCCCATTATCGGGATAAAGCAGAGGGAGAGGAGAAAAAGTTAACCCCATGTACACCAACTATGAGCAAAATGCCTACGATTTGATAAAATCATTTTTTCTTTCTATCTATCTATCTATCTATCTATCTATCTATCTATCTATCTATCTATCTATCTATCTATCTATCTGTCTATCTGTCTTTCTGTCTGACTAACTGTCTGTCTGTCTGTCTGTCCGTCCATCTGTCCGTCTGTTTGTCTGTCTGTCTATCTTTCTGTCTATCTGTCTATCTGTCTATCTATCTATCTATCTATCTATCTGTCTATCTGTCTGTCTGTCTTTCTATCTATCTATCTGTCTATCTATCTATCTTTCTATCTATCTATCTGTCTATCTGTCTGTCTTTCTATCTATCTGTCTATCTATCTATCTTTCTATCTATCTATCTGTCTATCTGTCTGTCTTTCTATCTATCTCTGTCCGTCTGTCTGTCTATGTCTGTCTATCTATCTATTTCTGTCATTAATAAAATAGTATTGAATTAATAAAACAAAACACTACAATTAATTAATTGACACAATTCAAAGGTCAAACAGATTATGTCTATCAAAGTTATATCTTGCCTACTCTTTTCCTTTTTTAATATTGTGCTAATATAGTATAAAGATGTGCCAAACATTTTTTATTCTATTTGTTGATCTAAAAAAGTGTATAATTTGTTGATTTTTTTTACAAATCCTTGTAAAAGGAGATAAGTAGGTACACTAGTAAGTAACAGGTAGGAACAACTGCTATAAAGCAAGAGTATGAATCATTAATCCGCTCAACTATTTAACCAATGAAGATCAGAAGGATGAGGTTGAATCATATCTTTCAACAAATTAATTCTAATTAATTTTCTAGGATCCATGTCATGTGCTCTGCTAATGTGTGATTGTTTAAATAAAGCGGAGCCCACAGCCAAGAGGGAGGTCTTGTTTTTATTTGAAAAATTGGAGGCGAGTGTGCCTTTATGATGTAGAGGGGGGGGGGGGAAGAAACGGAGGAAAGGACATGAGAGAAGATGGTGGTGGTGCTTGGATGAGATCATTTTTCTGGGCCTGGATGAATCAGCTTTTTGTCCATTGAGAGTGAGAAAATTCAGAACTCCATTAAACCACATGACTGACTGGCTAGAGCGAATGAGAAGTGTTTCAAGATGTCAGCTGTGGCTGGGCTACGCTAAGGAAGAGTTTCAGTTAAAATGGAAAAAGAGTGTGTAGAATGTGGATGAGTAACACTGTGTTGAGGGAAACGTGCAATGATTGCACTAAAGTAAAGTCAGCTGCATTATCACGTCTGTTGTGGTACTCTCCAAGATTTGATGTTTGAAGGTTGCAGTATAGTTCTCCAGTCCGAATTAGAACAGCAATAGGACAAGTGCACCTCACTGCAGGTTATCAATTGGAAATTAATCAACCAACTACTGGACAGACTTAGCAGCCACATGCTTTACAGATGTTAAGAGCATGGGGCAAGACATCTGCAATTGATTTATAATAGCCTCCAGGGCAACTAGTTTAGATATATAGACAGTGAAGCAAGAAAGGTTTAACTTATTACAGAAAAATGTAAATCCATCTAAGAGTTAAATTATTGTGCACCAAAGTTAGAGCCATTTTTAGTAAGCAATTTGAGATTCCCACATTCATTTAAAACTTAATTTATAGGTCAGTTAATGTTTTGGACTAGTCTGCTGTTTATAAAGAAACCCTCTGTACCCACATCAGAACAACGACACATGTTTACATCACTGCCAGACTTTCTCGTCATCAGTCCGGTTTTAAGGTTGTAGTATTTATTTTAAGGAAAGGAAAACTACACCACCTAGTGGCGAAAAACTTTCGGTGAACCTGCATTTTTAAGTGTTCATTTTCAATGAGACCAGATTAATGACTGCAGTTAATATATTAAAACAAATCTCATTTTATCCCTAAATATAGTATGCATCATGTTAAAAACATAATGGGATCACATATCTGATCATTCTAATAACTCATCCTTGAGTATTTACTGTTTTTCTTTCATAAATTAAAAAAGTTAACTCTGATGTCAAACAGTTAAAATTTTATTTCCCAAATCTGATATAACAATGGTACAGGGGAGACAATTTTGTAAATGAAAAATAATTGCATTTTACAATATAGCGTCAAACCTAGTCTGCAGTATTTTTTTTATTAAAAAGCAAAAAAAGAAAAACATGCACAAATACAAGATGCAGTATAAACAGGAGTAAACTAAAGCTAAAAATAAACAAATGGAAATACAAGTTGAAACTGCACAGGATGTTTGACAGCAGAGCAATTACCATCAAAATATGGAATCATAAATAAAATTCTGTGTCCTAAAATCAAATTCCACAAGTGGAAGTCACCCTTCTTTAGTAAGGTCTGTCTCGGCGCTCCTGGCGATGGTCCCTTTAAAGCAAGTAAAAGTCCAAGTTAATCAGATATCTCTAAACCTGCAGGTCACATTCCCCCTCCCCCTTTTTTAAAAAAAAAAAAAAAATTGAAGTACTGTAATCTTGAAGTAATTTTACCTCATTTCCATCTTTCCTCCTGGTGGCCCCATTCCTCTCCCCCCTCTTCCACCCATGCGGTCC